TCCTCAACAGCGGCACTCACCTTCCTTGCACCTCGAAAGTAAGCTGCTGCTGGGCTTTTTGGAAAAGGGGGGGGGCTGACCGCGTGGCAAGTGGGTGGGCAACAATGAGGCCCGTGGGAGGGAACAGGGTACACCCTGAGCCATAACACAGTGGTTGGCTGAAGCTCCAGCAATCACCACATGGCAAGTGGCTGCCTGTGTTTTGAAAACAGCTAATTGGGGTGCCTGCAATGGGACCTGCATGGTGGGGAGGGAGGGAAAGTACCGGGTTGCTGAAGGGGGAGAGGTAGAAGGGGCCCTGGCTGGCGAAGGCAGGGAGGGCAGGAAAGGGCCAGGCTGGTGGAGGAGAGGGAGAGGCCTGGGCTAGCAGTCGGGGGAGGGAGAGACCCTGGCTGATGCAGCCACAGCCCTCCCCTCCCCAGTAGCCGGAGGGAGAGCAGTGGTTGTCTACTGCCTGCAATGGGGGGTGGGTTAGTGTTAGGGTGGTGCAGCCCCCTAGTAAAGATTAACAAATATTTCTGTTCATGCCTTACTCTGGAAACTTAAAGTTTTTTCCCACTTACTCTAAATGTGAATGTTTTACATTATTTGGGTATTCAGAAATACAACTGAGTGGGTATAGATACATGTGCATGTACATACATTGAGCCATGCTAATCCATGGATATCCTCTTTATATCCATGGGTATCTGCATTAGCAGATATGGATGCAGATATCAGCAGCTCATTTTTGCAGATACAGATGCAGATACAAATTTTGTAGCTAGAACCCTGCAACTTTTTCTGCTTTATATCTATGGGTCTTGACTCCCACAGAGATCTCTGGATGTAGACATCCAAGGCTCATTTTTGCGGATAGCGATGTGGATACAAATTACGTATATGTACAGGGCTCTAGACATACATGTCTGTTATGTGTATATATGACTTTTGATTCATAACTATGAGGTATTGTTAATGAATTTAACATTACCAAACTGCATGTTTCCTAATTTCAATCTTGCTTAAAACTTGCACCAACACTGGGGGTAGCAGGTTTGTATAATTTTTAGTGATGCCCAGAAATGGGTCCAATTCCTGCCCTCCTAGCCTGCCTCAGTCTCTAGGAGGGTATTTGCATGCAGGAGGGCACGCAGCATATGTGGACTCTAAGCATGGGCGGCCGGAATGTTAGGTGGGGGAAGGCATTGCCTTCCCAAACTGCCAGCCTAGGCACGCCCATACTCCACTCCCAGAAGGCCTACAGTCATACTGGGAGCAGAGGTTGCTGCCTGCAAGTGCCCAGCCACCCTTCCTGCGCTCCAGGACAGAGGAAGCTTGGGCCATGTGCCCTCCTCCCTCCCCATGCTCCAGCACCTGGTAGGCTCAGGCCTTGTTCTGCCTGCCCTCCCCGTGCTCCAGGACCGGGGAGGCTGGGGATGTGCACCCTCCTCGTTCCCCATGGTGCCGTGCCTGGGAGGTTGGGGCCTGAGCAGATGGGGTAGGACTGGGGGCTTGCCCCAAGGCTGGGAGTCAGAGAGGAGGCCTCCTCCAAGCCTTCTCCTCAATATCAGCAGTGAGTTCTGGGGCCCCTTTCTCCCCCTCTGTCACAACACTCTCCCAAGCCGCCCCCCTTTCCCTCCAGGCATGACACACATCCAAGCCGCCTCCGAAGGCTGCTGTCCTCGAGGTCCAGCCAGGTCCAGGCCGTCGCGGCGTTTCCAAGTGGCACCACTGCACTGATCCTGGGGTCAACTCCATGCAGTGCTGCTGCTTTGAAATGCTGTGGCGGTGTTTCAAAGGGGCAGCGCTGACCAGAGCCCAGGATCAGCTGTGCGGCACTGCCCCATTGAAATGCCACACGGAGCCCTAACCTATCTGATAGAGGCAGCAAAAGGGGAGGGCATCCTTAGTAAGAAGCCAAGGTTTCCTCCACCTTTTCAGAATCTGCCATTTCACACTTCCTTCCAAAATCCTAATCCGTTAGTGATCATCACCACCGTTTCTTGTTGTAATTTCACATACAGACTGTCAGGATTCAGCTCCCTCAGACCTGGCAACAAGCAGCATGATCTCTCCCTGTCCAGCTACAAAAAACTCCTCTGTTCTCCCCCCAGGCAATCATATCTATAGCCACTTTTGGTTTGAGACCACTTCCTTCCTTACAACAAAATCCTCCACCACTGTGACCCAGTATCTGCTACAAATTCATAAACATCCCTAACAAATTATCCCATCCTTCCAAAAACCACCCTAATTTTCCCCAACTTTTATTTCAGCCCCTCAGCTTTGCAGGAGAAGCCAGGTAATGGTCTTTGTTCCCTACGTGAGGAAAAAGTCTACTTTATGTCTCTGGTGGCTTTTCTTCCCACAGGAAGACAGAATCACTTTTTTGCTATCCCCTAGGACCTTTGTAGAAAGATGATTATTATATTGAATTACTTTTGAGTATTGAACTAAAAAGGTTTTTTTCAGTTTATTTGAAGAATTCCACCCCCCCCCCCCCCCCCATTTTATTCTTCAAAAATCATCTGAGGTAGTGCAGTTTGTCCATGAAAGTTCATGATACAGGCAGTCCCCGGGTTACGTACAAGATAGGGACTGTAGGTTTGTTCTTAAGTTGAATCTGTATGTAAGTCGGAACTGGTATCCAGATTCAGCCGCTGCTGAAACTGACGAGCGGCTGACTACAGGAAGCCCGAGGCAAAGCTGCTCTGCCCCGGGCTTCCTGGAATCAGCCACTGATCAGTTTCAACAACGGCTGGATCTGGGAGACT